TGAATCTGTCGCTGTACGGAGTTCAGTGTAATCCTGTTCCCAACGGGGCCGATTGATCACATGCTTAATATCCCATGTTTCCATATTCACGTGTCGACATGGCAATAGTCTTGTAACCACTAAACACCATGGACATAGTAATAGCTCTATCTCTATTTACTATCTCAATAGCCCAAAACCCTTGCTTGTCGTAAGAGTCGACTAACGGGATCGGGTGGTCAGGCTCACTGACTTAGTTGACACATGTCATCGCATCCCAACTGCGTAGATCGATGTTCATGCTGTTGATCACTGGATTGCCTGGTCCAGACACGATTATTTACAGACCGCCGCGATAGCTGGAATATTGCTGAGTGCGGCGTAAAACAACATACCAACAAAACTATCGTATGTCTAAGTTAGGGAGTGACGGTCCCTTCAGCGTTAAGATAGCTTAGTACGATGGCACTGGACCAGAGTGAGTGAGTGAGTTACGTTTTACGCCGCACTCCAGCAATATAATCAGTCTGGACCATATGATCAACGGCGATCATCGTAAATAATCGATGACTGTGTCAACCAAACCAACAGCCACCATCCAGTGATCAACAAGCATGACCCGGGCCTTCGTCACTGGACCAGATAAACCAATTATTTTGCACGGCTACGCTGGACGTCGAGATCCAACCACACGCACCTACTAAGCCTGACCGCCCCATCCAGTAAGTAACCTCCTATGGAACACACACTGGGCTGCTCGACATAAACCTTCAGTTACCTTCATAAACCCTTCGTCAATCTGGACGGTACCACTGTCAGCGGATTCACGTATGATAGAACCGTTTATGGCAGAGTTCGGGTCCGCTCTAGCGAGGTTTCAGTTTATGGGTACCTCCGTCCTTACAAAGTCATAAGCAAAAGTTGTTTTTCATACCACAATTATGATAATGCAGGGGAAGTATATCACCAGGGTAAATATCTATCCTCAATATCGGCGAGGACAGATATTTACACTGGTGATGTAGGCTTTCCTGCACAGTGCCAAAGATATGGCTCCCATTTGACGTTGAAAAAGGGTCAAGCTATTTCTGACATGTAGATCAAAATAAAAGTTTAAGTGTGGTAGTATGATTGAAAATAATCTGCAATTGTGTTTTATTTAATTTCTTGGGGCACTACTTAGGACACGACGAAACAGGACAATTAAATGGTACTTTTGCCTCAGTGGACATGTCAAAATTACAGTAGCACAAACGTATTAATATAAAAGTATCAGACATATTCAAATGGCTGACAACCAGAGTTTTCTCCTTTTTAACACCTGTAAATGTTGGACTTGACACATGACGAGATAAATATGAATTGCATAAACAAAATAAAAGGACTAATCGTTTTAACTAACGACCCAGATGCATTGTGATACTTCGTTTGTGGTTAATTTTTTATAAGTATTCAAAAGACTTGCTCATGTCAATAAATTATAAAAAAACATTTCTGGAAAAAACCTCTTGACTTATTCCAGACTCATTTATTCCTAGTTGTTATAAATCCCCCAAACACTAGTGCTGAAATGAATTAAGTCGAACATTCATAAGAACACACATCATTTTCTAATTATTTTTATATCTGTATCCCGAGGCTGAAAAAGGGCTCATGTTCTTTGTTAACCCAGACGATTTCAATGTTAAAGAAACAGTTTTAGTGGCCTAGAGGGTGTGGAGTCAGTGAGTAGATTCTGCTGAGTGACGGGAGTTGTTGAAGGGCAACATTGATTATACAATTGTTTGTTTGTTTCTTATCTATTGTCGCAGTCAGCAATATTGGAGTTGTATCGCAATGTTCTGTATTATTCCAGCCTGGACAAGACAATCCAGTGACTGACATCATGAGCATCTACCAACGCAATTGTTATTACCAATAGTTAGTGATGGAAAGGAAATGGTAGTGATCATATTACGGAGCAGATTCTATGCATAGAACAAAATATATTATTGTTTCATTGTCCCTCGAAGTCAAGCAGATATTGTTTGACAACAATGGGCAAACCAGTCTCACTCAGTTATTTATTTTCTATAAACGGCACTTGTATTAGAAACAGGAGCAAATAGTCTTATACGTTGCCTTAGTTTAGCCCATGAGTATTTCCAGCATGGGTCGTTAACCTGGTCTCGTTGGGTTTGTGAGAGTGATACAGATAATGGCGGGGGGTTGGAGGGTGGGGGAATGTTAAAAACCCCATTATGAAAGACAGCACATCTGCAGGGGGACTATGAGATTTCAATGAAAACTTACACAGTGGGTCTCCCGAAACCCTCACAACAAAAACCACACATGCGCGTTTGAAAAATAATATTATACCCATTATTTCCGCATGAGGTATCTCAATTGAAATTATCCGAATTCCTGCGATGAAAAGGGTCATCAAAAAGACCTTTAAAACCACACTGTGGCTAAATGGTACTTAAAAAACACGTTGCATTACACTATCAGCGTCGTGTTTGAAAAGTTAAACAGACATTCCAAATGTTTCAGACATAATTGTGTCCGTAAATTATTTTACCGACACATCCACCTACTTAAAAGTAACAATAAGACAGACACTTAAACGTAGCTGTAGCTTCCTGAACAGTCTAACAGATTTAATGTCAGAAAAAAACCACAAAGCTTAAGTTATGTTAACAAGGAAAGAAAATCTGTTGAGAAGTTTTACAGATTTAACGAAATATTAAAAACTGTTAGCTCTAGTTGATTAATGTCAATAATTGTCGGTTGTCAACATTAAAAGTAACATGCGCAAATCACTAATTAATACAATATAAACAAGAACAAAAGTGAAAATCAATACTTTAATTTATATAACAATATAATGATTATGCAGCGAATGTATTATGTTTGCTATTATGAAATTTATATACTCATGCCAATAATGGTTGTCACCCCTTCAATTTTTTAATTGAGAGTGGGGGGGGGTGGGGGTGGTTGACAACCATTATTGGCATGAGTATATTATAATTCAGAACATACCTTGATGAGAAGAAACATGTAAAAATGACGAAACATGTTGAGGTGCATATGCTGTAATAATGATAGGTACTGTTTGAATAGACAATAGGATCGCCCTTGGATTAAATCGGACATAATCCGCAGGTCCGAGGGTCCGTTCCATGAATCCAGGTAAGTCATGGTCACTTAAAGGCGTACTGCAGTCATGGATGAAAATCATTCGCATATAATCACCCCTTCTTTAATATAATGTTTGATATATAAGTTTTTCGAGACCACGATTTTTCTAATTATCACTAACTATTATGATAGGAGTGATATATACATATGCAATTTTCACTACTTTTCGTAAGGAACTCTTAATCATGAAGATATCACGGATGAATTTCATGAATAAAATTGTCAGTTGTCTTCTCTGTAAGAATTCCATATACTGTCCACGTTTTATGGAATTACGGGTTACAAATGTCACAATACATTGCAAAGTTCAGATGTTCATCGCCTCATTTGCATGTGTCTATATTCATGACACTGTCCACAAGATCGCTCGGTTTAGAATCACATGGCGTTATTTCCAACACTCCAGAAAAACTTTTAAGCATGAAATGTACACATTTAGTAGCACGTACTCATATACACACAGCTGAGTCTTATATCATTCCCGTTGTTTCTGACCGACGCAACTCTTTAATATGTACGTGCACGTGGTTCCAAAGATATCATTTCCTCAATTTTGCCTCTCACATGAACCTTTGTAAAATCCAGGTACGAAAAAGAACCTGCATCAACATTCGCCGTAATGACCATATATTGTCTTCAGTTAATAAATAACGCACTCACAACGTCACAATCACAATACAATCACCGCGCATGCATAAATGGATGGAATCGGGTCGGGTATGATGACAATGATTTGGTTGGAACAGGTTTCCATACAGACGACTGAAGCAAGTCAAGCCGTGGAGGAACAGCACCATGGCATTGGAGTCCTTTATTGGATGACTCTGGGTTCGGATTGGCACAATTACACCCAATGTATGGACACCCACCAGCGAGCGGTCCTGTAGGTAAAGACTGTTTCTTGTTTTGCAGTGGGTGGCCAAATGGCCATAAATTGTCACTTAACGGCGCAATTTGTGCGTCGGCCCGGTTCTTCATGCCATAGTTGTAGTACAAAAACTCAGTTATTGGAAATCTGCTACCCACGACACCAAGTCCATGGGCTTGGGCGACTTGGAGTCGGTCTAAGAAGTCCTTGTATTCGAGGCCCTGCTGATGCCAATTTAATGGTGGCATTCCTGGAAACATTTGATGCTTGGGGACATTAGGTTCCTTCCAGAATGATGCCGGCAGATGGCGCTGTCTGAGAGGAACTTCGGATTTCTCATCATTTGATGTATAAAAGTGCGCATGATTGATAAATCCTGGCCTGAGGTGTCGGGTGTCTATTTGACTTTTGGACGACATTGGTAGCGATGACGACGTCGTAGGAAAACCGTTCATGGCGGTGGGTGGAGGCGGAAGAATGAAGGAGTATTTTTCCGGCGGAGGAGAACCACGATCTTTACGGGTACAGGTGTTGGTCATTTGGTCAGTAGTGTCCTTAGATGACCACTTGTTGTTGACAGAACACGCCTTCTGTGTTTGTTGAGAAGGCTCGCCCACAACGCTCAATGCGGTTTCAGGGCCAGGCTTTAACAGATATGATAACTGCCGCTGAATATATCTGCGGTGATCGACGACACGCTTAGATCTGTTGGGTGAAGCCAGAACCGTTTTTATATCCCTGGATACCAAGTTGACAAAACGCAGAAGAGAGGAGGCGTCAATCTCTGTTCCGTGATCTCTACCACTAGTACTGTCGTCTGCTGTTTCCCGCCACGCGCAGGTTCCCGCCCTCTGCTCTTCTTGGCTACTGCCTCGGGTTCTGCGATGCACGTGTTGCACGCGGGAGGTTCGGCAGTCTTCTGTCATAACTGGGATACACCACGCTGGTCGGGGAGGCCAGAAGTCTCGCGATGGCAGGCACTACACCACAAGGTAATTGTACGGAATGTTAACATGTCCGTAATGCAGAAACTGGCTCCCAAGTCATCCTAAACATGCGAATTGGAAAGTGTCAAAACAAACAAAAATATATACCTCGTGCACGGATTCCCCCCTTATCGCTCTCTCATCTTGTTCCTGGTGTGCCGGAAAATTCTCAGTCCAAATTCCCTGAATTCGTGACTGAGGGTAGAGGATTCCGTCCGACTCTCTTAACAAAAGCCCGCTCTCCCGAGAATGGAAAAACGCCCGTCCCGAAATATGGCGTCTTTTTCTAACAATCTCGGATACCGGGGGGATAATGTCACTCCAGGGGAATTTTTAAAGTTACCCTGCTCTCACTTTGCACACATGTGTCAAAATGTCACTCGTGTTTCGAGGAAAGGGGAAGCAAATCACTTTCGAGTCAGCAAATTAAACTTTGTGTTTTCCCATTCCCTAAATTCTGCTAAGAAGTTAAATCACGCACCGCTGTGTTTTCCAGTTCCCTAAAACAGAAGACAAGAAGGATCAGTTGGTATGATGAGTCAGTTGCTGATCCTGAACGTGGAATATGACATATTTGATCTATGGAAACATTTCAGGGAAACATTAGCTGCTTAAACCCAATAATTTGCCTTCACAAAGAATGGTAATGTTATGGCAATGTTAATAACAAAAACGATGTTTACGAGACGGTAATTATAAACATCTCATGACATATATTTCTAACAAATATTTCATAGAAGATTGGAAACATTTCATCTATTAATATGTACAATATTCTTGTGACAAACAAATCAGCTGCAAACAATAAAGATTTGCCAGTTTCTCTCATGCATACAATTAGCATGCATACTAAGTGTTAAGATGGAAACTAAACATACTTACTGTTTGCATGCATAATAAATGCACGTATGAAATATATTTGTCGTATGGCATGCATGCCAATTGTTATTGCAAAATATAAATTAACAGCTGTTTTGCATATATGCCGACTATTAACATAGAAACACATTTTAATGTTATAGACGAATGCATTTACTACACGCGGCCCTTGAAGATCCGTGTTAGAATTAATCTTCGGCAACCCATGCTTGTCGTCAGAGGCGACTAACGGGATCGGGTGGTCAGGCTCACTGACTTGGTTGGTGTTTGTCATCGTATCCAAGTTGCGTAGATCGATGCTTATGATGTCAAACACTGGATTGTCTGGTTCAGATTATGTTATTTACAGACCGCCGCCATGTAGCTGGAATATTACTGAGTGCGGCGTTAAACAACAAACAAACTATCCACAAATTATATTTTCAGAGACTAAGCGACAGTCTAGGTGAGCTGCTTCATTGGAATGTGTTAAGTGTAGAGTGCGGCATTTAGCAACAAACAAACAATATTTGACATTCATTCTAAATGCTACACTTAACAAAAGAGATAAAGGTGTCTGTAGTGTGGAATAGTGGTTAAGGCGTTCGCTCGTCTCGCAGAAGGCCGGGGTTCGATTCCCCACATGGATACAATGTGTCAGGCGCATTTCTGATGTCCCCCGCCGCGATGTTTCTGGATTATTGCTAAAATCGTAAAACCGTAACTCACTCACTCACCGATACGTGTAATAGACACATAAATGAAAAGTGATTGTTGATCCTATACGAACGCTCAGTCTCACACTTAAAGCCTTTCTTAAGTACATGTTGTATTCTAATTTCTCCGTTTGTAAAATAATCAACTCCGACATGCACGTGTGTTGGAATATTGAAGTAACGGTACATTGAATAATTGGAGTACCATCGCAGATGTTCACTCATCAGACAGATTCACTAATTAGATTTCAAATACCTAAGTGAATTTTTACATAAATATTACATACTTCATATCCCACGAAGTATAATCCCAACGCCTGTATAAGCGTTCAGTTCGAGAAATAAGTTCAAATATGCATAAAATGTCTTTAAAAGGTTGAAGACTTACCACAACACACCAACACACACGTGTTCAGCTTCGCCAAACCGTTCAGAAAACGCCGTCATCAAATACACGTTAAATATTTCATTCCACAGTCGACACCGCAGACACGTGACCTGACCATTAAGTCATGTTTGGACTTCATAAATGTCCAACGACGTGCTGGGATTGTTTCGGGTATGCCAGCTGGGTGCTGTTGTCGGGACAACCCGCCTTTCATATTCACAGCAGTTGCTCGGGAGAGTTGACATTCTCAGATACTATTTCCGAGGGCGCTGTGTTTGCTTATTTTTAAACTGCAAGTACAGGAATTCCGAATGATTTCATGGGTAATGGGGGCCCAGATAATGCTCTGGTCTGTGATTTTATAGGGTGGCCCACCCCTGGTAGGATCGGTCGTCGGGGAAAAATACTGTACGACCTTACGTTGCTGTTGTTTCAAGTAAAAAGATGACAAGATCAGCACTCTGTCTGCATGTGTTGTTTATTTTGTTGATATTTTTTGGGGTTGGGTTATTTTTTTTATTTTGATGTTTTTGTTTTGTTGTTTGTTGTTTTCTGTTTTTGTTTTTAATATGTCTATCTAAATCTTACTATTTTATTGGAAAATGCACAACTTTACTTAAACGGAGATTCATAATTTGAAATTGTATCCATTTAAAACTAGATACATGTAATTAATAATAAGGTAACCACTCTTTAGGCAAACCGTCACTTTAATCTAACCTTATGCACTTGATGCATGAGTAACCATAAAATGGTTTTCATGGCACCAATCAACCATTTTACACAACACCTGTCAATAGCAGGTATGGGATCTACAAGATGAAATGACATACTGAAACCTAGGATCCATGCTTGCGATAAACTTCGATATTTAAACCAAATTTGACCCCACATCATAGTTTTCTGTTGAATCCTTAGCGCATGTCATCCTTAGCAAAGTGTGAATTGTATATATCAACTATCAATGTGAACTTTATGCTATATAAATGCTATTTGCGTGCATGCGCGCGCGTGTTTACGTGTGAGCGTGCGTACAACCCAAATGGAATCTGTTTGTGAGGAGAGTAAAGAATGTTTTGTGGTGACGTTATATGTTTACGTCGAGGTCCAGGTTTCCCCACTGATACTGCTACAGTGAGATACCCTACCCAGACACGATGTACTCATAAACCCATATCCCGAGTGACAGGCTTGGTAACAACATGTAGCACCTTACAAACGTGTTTTGGTATCACGTGGCTAGAGGATCAACCAATGACATTCCGTTCTCAAGGCAGACACTTTGGTCTCAAGACAACAGGAGGCGATGGGGTGGCAAAATGGTTAAAGTGTCCGCTCGTCACGCCTAAGACTCGGGTTCGATTTCCTACATGGGTACCGCCGCAATATAGCTGGGATATTGCGGAGTGAGGCGTAAAACTAAACTCACTCACTCACTCACTCACTCACTCCTACATGGGTACACTGTGTAAAGCTCATTTCTGGTCTCCCCCGCCCTGATATTGCTGGAATATTGCTAAAACCTCACTCACACACTCACTCAGTCTGATGTACGCATCAGGTGTCAAATGATACATATACGAGCTTTCCACAATTTCTGTATGATAAAACTATTTGCTTGACTTCCAGGTACATTTTAATCCCAATCAAACTGAATTTTCTCCATCATGATGAAATTATGTTAATCCCAATCAAACCGAATTTTGTTCGTCATGGTGAAATTGTTAATGCAACCCACTCCAGTCGTACTGCTCATGGATTTTGAACGTTAAAAAATGAATCCTTGTTTTTGACAACACCCCTATCCATGGTGAAATGTTCAGGGTATGAGGAATTTGGACTCGCTGCTTAACACAATGCGTTATGTGTTTTGTGACGGGGCGGTGGCGGGTCCACGTTGTCTGCATTGTGAATGCGGTGTGAACTATGCAGTTTGACGTTAAGTGAATATTCACTCCAATATAACTCAGGCAATTGTACTTGTGGTATGTAATGGGTAATGAATTCACACTGGGGCAGTGTGCCTTAACAACATTTGGGTTGGTTATTTAAAGAGTTGGAACGTGGTAGTTATTGTTGTACCTAGAGTGGTAGTCGCTGTAGTAGTAACAGTAGACGTCGTAGCAGCACGGTAATAGTAGTAGTAGAAGTAGTAGTGGCTGTACTAGTTGTTTTGATGATGGTTGTACTTTAGTAGTAGAAATAGATGAATCAGTCGTAGTAGTAGCAGCAGTAGCGGTGGTGGTGGCGGCAGTAGTAGTAATAGGAGGAAGAGGATACATAGTGGCAGCAGTATTAGTAGTAGTTTGTAGTAACGGTAGTAAGAGTAGTGGCAGGAGTAGCAGCGATAGTAGTAGTAGTAGTAGTAGTAGTAGTAGTAGTAGTAATCGTCGCTGCAGCAATTGTAGTAGCAGGATGAGGAGGATAGTAGTAACGGTAGTAAGAGTAGTGGCAGGAGTAGCAGCGATAGTAGTAGTAGTCGTAGTAGTAGTAGTAGTAGAAGTAGTAGTAGTAGTAGTAGTAGTAGTAGTGAGTGAATGAGTGAGGTTAGTTTTACGCCGCACTCAGCAATATTCCAGCTATATGGCGGCGGTCTGTAAATAATCGAGTCTGGACCAGACAATCCAGTGATCAAAAGCACGAACATCGATCTGCGCAATTGGGAACCGATGACATGTGTCAACCAAGTCAGCGAGCTTGACCACTCGATCCCGTTAGTGGCTCTTACGACAAGCATGGGCTACTGAAGGTTCATTCTAACCCGGATCTTCACGGTAGTAGTAGTAGTAGTAGTAGTAGTAGTAGTAGTAGTAGTAGTAGTAGTAGCAGTAGTAGTGTACACTTAGTACAACCCTCAGGTCAATTCGTCACACATCGACCACAGCTGTAGGCGACAGGTGTGGCCGCTCCAGATTCACACAGCCAACATGCCTTAACTATATATATATCAGGCCAATTCGTCACTCATTGACCCAGTCAACAAATGTTGACGACTCAAGATCAATTCTCCACATTATCTACAATTATTGACGACGACACAAGTA